TATGTCTGACCCGACCTGACCTTATCAGGTCGGGTCAAGTCAATTACCCGACCCGACCTGACCTGTTCGGAGCTCTAAATATGACTAATTTATCACATAATAAAAATCTCACATTTTTATTAGTTATATTATTAATATATTCTATAAAAAACTTCTGTAAAATCAGGTTAAATTTTTCTAATTATTAATAATATATCTTTTTTTAAATTCTGTTAATTTTTTAAATAATTAAGTTAATTCAAAATGTAAGTCGATATTTTAAAAGAATATTACCTAAACTATATTACTTTCAGTATAATTTTTTAATAATTTGTAAATTGAAAAACTAGATATATTTAGAATTTATGCTAAATTTTTGATAAATAGATATTATATATTATACTATTAAATATGATAAATTAGATATAATCATATATTAGTTTATTTTTTATAATTTTATTTTATATAAATAAGTATCTTAAAGAATTCTCAGATAATTCTTGGTAATTTAAAGACAATTGATTTATCATACTTATCCTTTTATTTTCTTTTTATTATTTTTTTTATTTTTATATCTTTTAATTAAATATATTTTGAAATATAATTTTAGAATTACCTTTGATATTTAGTATTATCATTAAATTTAAATCTAAATTATCTAAATAAATTCATTTTGTAAAATTTATTAAATCAAAGTTATTAATTGATAAATATTAATAATTAATTAAAAAGAATCATTATTGTTTAACTGTTATAATTTTTAAGAATAACATATTAATATTATTTAATATTTATAGAGTCAATAATTATAAGTAAAATATATATTTTACTAATACAGAAGGTTTTCAAAAGTTTATACATATTTTTTTAATATTATAAATACTAATTTTCTAATATTTAGCAATTCAAATTAAAAAAAACTTTTAAATATTATAATTGATATTATATTTATAATATATCAAAAGGTTGAGCTAATTTTAATTACCAGTTGATAATTAATTAAAATAATATAATATAATATAATAAATAACGGTTATATATTATAAATTTATATATATATATTTTTTATAATTTTTTATACTATTTTTTTTATTAAATAATCTATATTAATAGTATCATCAAAGATTAAAATAAAGAGTATTATGTAAATTTATTATATAATTAATTATTAAATCTAAATCATAAATATACTAGAGCAAAAATAAAAATCAGATTAAATTAAATAAATAATTAACAATTGATTTTTTAAACCAGTCTTAACCGGTTTTGAAATTCCTAATCGGAATCAAGTATCTCATTACTTTGGATAGTTAAATAATAATCAAAAAAAATTTGTTTTAAGCCAACTTCATTTTTTATTAAAATAAAAGGATCAAAATTTTCATTAATATTAGATACATACATTATTAATTTTACATTATATTATTTTAACACCTATTCACAAGAAGACTATATTATATATATTACTAATAAAATGGGACCTTGTTTTTATAAAAACCAAAAATTTTCAAATTCACTAAAAAAATAAAGTACCAACAGAAACGAAACCAACAATTGCAATCCAACCTAATTGGCCAGGTCCAATTGATAACGGAGTTTGATTATGTAATGATTTTATAGAATATCCGTCGGATGCAGGTTGTTTTGGCTCATTTTTCTTTTCAGAACCGGGTAACGGACCTTCGTAAAACCAATATTCAGCCTCATATGTACTTGATTTCGTTGATTTATCAGTATATTGAACTCCACCTAGATGATAAAGAGTAAAAATTAATAAATAATCGCAAGGATTGAGGAAACTGATTATAACAATAAACTATAGATTATTTACATTCACCCTTAGGAGGAGCAACTCCACCATTTGTATTTAACCTAATGATATAAGATATAGTGCTAAATCTACCACCTTCATCTCTTTGCTTTAAAAAAAATGAAAAGAATAATAAACAATAAATAACGATAATACGGAAAATAAAAAATACTAAATCTCAACTTTTCTTTACAGTTACCGTAGCAGCATATAATTCCCAAGGTAAGTTTGCATCACCTTGAGATGATGTATTTTCGGATTTAGCAGTTACTTTGGTAGTATCATTTTTAAGTAAGGCTTCCCAAGTATATTTTCCACCATTCACCGCTATAAACATGAAATCAATTTTCTTCATTATTATCATAATAAAATAAATAATACACGTCACGTCTTTTTTATGATCATAGAATGAGCTTACGTGGATTTGTTATGTAATGATGAACAACTTCGAAGGCAGGATCGAAGTGTTGGTCTTTGTTTATTTCGTTAATGAAATAGGAATCGACGTTAACTGTCATTTGACGATTGGTAAGTGACGTCATTAACCCATTTTAAAAGTAAATCATGTAGAAATGAAATAAACACAAAAACATACCCATTACCCATTGAGGAACTGAGGCGACACATTGATATAACAGGTCACCTCTTGCGTAAAGTAAGAATGCGAATGAATGACCTGTTGGTACCAGTGTTGGCACATGACCGGATGTGACCTAAATGACTTGATGACTAAGTCACAAGTCATTTAGTCATTTTAGCTA